TTTTAAACAGTTAGACCAAGATTACTCCAGAAGGAGTCGCACCAGTCTAAAGGTGGGGAAGGAATATTGAACAACAAAGTCTGGAATAGGAGTTACACCTAACATCATAAGCTTGCAATGGATTATGAATGCAAATAGTTGCAACTACTAAGCTCTCTGCCTTCAATAGTGAATCCATGACCCTTAAGTACTTGGTCTGGGGTGATGATGGACTACAGCATATACATGTATTATCAGCACCCATCTCCTATCCTCATTAACCATGGCAACATCTCATAGTTTTTACCTGTTGGAACCATCTTTGATGAGCACCTTTGCATACAAAACATCAACCTCGGCTGGATCGTCATTCATGTACTCCACACCCTTGAGTTCAACAACTACTGCAGTATCTTGCAGGCAATTGCTAAAGAACACACAGTATGTACATTAGTAACAGTGACTTTCACCCTGGAGCTGAAACATGTTTAGATGTCTGTTTTAATCTTGTAGGAACAGATTTTTAAGAATATTTTTGTTGAACAGATTTTAGGTTTTTGCTTTTGTATTTTTTTTTTAATTTTTAGCGATATGTTGTAGAGCACAGCTGATCATGTAAACAATTTGCGCAGTAAACTAAAATGTTATTAAATATATTATTGATAAGTTAATAAAGATGGTGAATTTTAAGCTCGGTAATGAAATGTGAAGGTGAATTAATCAACATGACACGAGCGTGGGACAAAGAAAAATTCTGAGTCCCCCGACAGGAATCGAACCCATGACCTCCTGAACACCGGGCGGGCGCTCTAAACGAATTTGTTCTACAACAATTAAGATATGCACTAATTGGTGCAATAATAGCAACAATTTCCAATGCTCTTCAAGTCCAGTCTGGGAAAACTTTTTTTAGGCAAAACATGAAACTCTAGTGTAAATGAAAGCTTTTACGCAAGTGTATTGTTTTCATATATTGTACTACTTATTTTGCTTTACAATGTAAGGCATGGGAGGTTGTAGTTTACAGCTTTATCAACAACAATAAGCTATTACTAACAGTAACAAGTTTTAAAAAAATAATAAAATACACCTAACAGTACTTAAGTGAATGTTTGTGAAAACTCCAAGTAGTTGGAATAGACTAGCACTGTTCTGATAAAAGCATTTCTTGTGGAGGATAGAGAACAATCATGATATGTTTTCTGTTTGACCCTTAATTTATGAGGTAATTANCCTTCAATAGTGAATCCATGACCCTTAAGTACTTGGTCTGGGGTGATGATGGACTACAGCATATACATGTATTATCAGCACCCATCTCCTATCCTCATTAACCATGGCAACATCTCATAGTTTTTACCTGTTGGAACCATCTTTGATGAGCACCTTTGCATACAAAACATCAACCTCGGCTGGATCGTCATTCATGTACTCCACACCCTTGAGTTCAACAACTACTGCAGTGTCTTGGAGGCAATTGCTAAAGAACACACAGTATGTACATTACTAACAGTGACTTTCACCCTGGAGCTGAAAAATGTTTAGATGTCTGTTTTAATCTCGTAGGAACAGATTTTTAAGAATATTTTTGTTGAACAGATTTTAGTTTTTCGCTTCTGTAGTTTTTTTTTTTTTTAATTTTTAGCAATATGTTATAAAGTGCTTCTGATCATGTAAATAATTTGCGCAGTAAACTAAAATGTTATCAAATATATTATTATTCATAACAATTTGTTCTACAACAATTAAGATATGCACTAATTGCTGCAATAATAGCAACAACTTCCAATGCTCTTCAAGTCCAGTCTGAGAACAGTTTTTTTAAGCAAAACATGAAACTTTAGTGTAAATGAAATCTTTTACGCAAGTGTATCGTTTTCATATATTGTACTACTTATTTTGCTTTACAATGTAAGGCATGGGAGGTTGTAGTTTACAGCTTTATCAACAACAATAAGCTATTACTAACAGTAACAAGTTCTAAAAAAATAAATAAAATACACCTAACAGTACTTGAGTGAATGCTCGTGAAAACTCCAAGCAGTTGGAATAGACTAGCACTGTTCTGATAAAAGCATTTCTTGTGGAGAATAGAGAACAAACATGATATGTTTTCTATTTAACCCTTAATTTACGAGGTAATTACCTTACAAGTTCTTCGTAGCATTTTGACAGCAATTCTGCTGCACTTTTCTGCAACAAAAGTAATGTCAAAATGAGCAATGTAAGGAGAGTTTATTAAAATCATGTTATTTGAAACATTGAATGTTAATTTTTACACATCTTCTTACCACTTCTTTGTCACTTAACAAGGTCATCATACCAACAGTTACGTGAATCTTGCTTGGCAACTGAAATATGCTGGCGTCAATTCCTCGACACTACAAAATAAGACAAAATAAGGATCAATTTCTGATTTTTTACAAAAAAAGTGAAAACCTGAGCTTGTCATCTAACAAATAAAAAGAAGAGAATGATATTAGTCTGGATGAGATATCACACTTGATGGAAATCAACATGTAGATATGGATCATTGACTTAAGAGATCAAGGAATTTAACTGGCTTGTATTAGCAACAGCTTATATCAATAATTTTTTTTGTCATCCAGATGATCACAATAGATGAACTAACAAGAACCAACATATTCATATTATTTTTTGTCAGTTATTAGATCAAATACTGTATGGTAAATAGTTTTAAAGAGAAAACTGAGAAATATCAATTGCAAGGTTCCCTTATTCCTGTATAGTTTAATGGTTGGCTGTCACTTATTTTTTAAAATATTATATTTTTCAAAATGATACACTCACGGTGATAATAGAGCATTAAAAAAATAATCGAGTGTTGAATAAGTTACCTCAAAGCAATCTTTAAGCACTCTCACTTTAAACTCATCAACTTTCTTTGCCAAGTTGCTCTTATACAGAGGAAAACACAAAAAATGTGTGAAAGGAATCTTTTGTCTTGATGATTCAACTATCACTTCAATGCGACTTCTTGCTCCCACAACACCACTTCTGTTGGGGCCGGTTATAACTAAAATGGGACATGAAATGAAATTAATCAGCAACAAAAAAGAAGTTTGAGAACAAGTCTCAAAAATGGGAACCTTGCTAATTTTTTGAGTGTTCTATCAAGGAGTAGGGCCTGGTTCACGCTAGCAACATACATGAAATGTTGTAATGGAAAAGTCACCAATGCGAACATTGCTGCATGACTGCTACATAGCAGCAACACAATGATTTGAGCAGAATGGCATAAGACAAAAACTATATTTCCTTTATGTTGTTATCCTCACGCTATTATGTCATGATCAATAGTGCGAACAAGACTTAAAGAAAAGGACCATCGCCTAAAAGTTTCAAGTGTTGGATTGTGAACAAAGCAGTCCAAATTTGAACCCTGATAAGTTTGGGTAATTATGTTACGTTCCTGGGAAAACATGTTATTCTCACAGTACCTCTCTCAATCTACCCAGGTAGAATGGGTACAGGCAGAACTGATGTTGGGAAATAACCCTTCCAGGAATGGACAAGGCAACGCTTCATAATTTTTTCATCATAATTTTTCATCATAATTTTTCAACATCAATGTCAATGTTATCCTCATCATCATCTTCATTTTCATCGTTTCTCAGCGTAGAAGGCATAGAACACATACATATAGTAATACTTAAAATTCCTGAAATTTCAACGGTATTAAAAACTCACCAACATCTCCTTCTTCTCCCTGCCTAGGAATCATGATCTGTGTGCTCGTTTCTTTTTCAATTTTCTTTTTTGTTTCTGCTCTCTTTCCAAGAATAAATTTAAACAATGAACTTGGAACTTCCATGGACAGTCTGTATCCTTGTTCGGTCTTCTCAACTGACTCAACAGTATCACAAGCTTCATCTTCCCAAATCAAATCCTCTGAAAGTAAAGAATTTCTCGAATAATGTTTAAGCTTATTTACTTTAGGACTGCTTCATTAGCCCAAAGATTTAATACTTTAACTGACGTTCAGAAATAAGTAACGCCACAGGTGTCGTGAGTTTAGAATTAAGGGTGATCTATTTAAAAGTTTACAAGTCTTACTACAAATGATAGAAAATGTAAGTTTATGATGATCCAAGATTTTAAGCTTAGTGTTAAAAGCTTAAACTTACCTTCATAATGCTGGCCTGAAACCTGGTCCGAATGATGTTCAATTTTTTGTGTAAACGGCATTTTACGGTAACATCGTCCACCTATGTTTATTAACGTTGGATTCATTACATCCATGTTTGGAAAACAGAATAAAGGCTTAAATACGGTTTATAGACTTAGCAGACTTAGCTCGATCTTGCTCGCAGTCGCGTTGGCCGCCATCTTGAAAATACGCTCGTGTGGACTGGCGCGAGTCCATCCCAGGTCCCAATGCTGTCAATGCTGTCACAGTTTAGCGTTATCCCCGATTGGTATCCCAAGTAGCCGACGTTCCCTCCCTCCCGTTTTTCCTCGGGCGTTGGGTACGGCTACACGTAGGCTATATCCCCAGTAAAAATACGAAGCTTTGTCTCAATAAATCAAAACACATAACGTCGCTGAAAATAGCCGCAGTTTATAACAGACTGTCTGATCCGACTCCGCAGTTATAACGGCAAACAAATCCGGTTTTGTATGCCGTTATAACTGCGGACTCGGATCAGACAGTCTGTTATAAATTGCGACTATTTTCAGCGACGTTATGCGTTTATATCAAGATTGAGAAAGCTTTAATTTATTGAGACAAAACTTCGTTGGAGGTTAAATGGTTTTTGAGCAGAATTATGAATGATTTCACTTGCCCCAGGCTAGGGTATCTGACGCTTTCAGTGTTTTGGGTATCCCTATACTGGGGATAACTAAAACACTAGGGATTTGGGTACGGGGGAACTGATATTACTGTTACACCCGGGGCTCTTCCATTCGATAAAAAATTGGAACGGAAATTTCCTTGGGAAAGAATTCAGAAAATCCAGACATGGTTGAAATTTTCCGAAAAGCGAACCATTCAACCGAAAATTCTGGAAAGTCAGCGATGAAAATCAAATAGAACGGAAATTTCCAGGAAAAAATGTTCGCAAATTTGGAGGTTGTCCTCTTTTCCGGAAATTATGCAAATTCGCGATTTCCTTACCAGCCCTAGTTCTTTTGGCCGCGATCACAGCGAGTTGGACATCTCACGCAAGGATGACGGAGACGCGTTTTCGAAAATGGATTTATATTTTACTTTGGAATCTTGCCAGTTACGCCCTCATGTAAATGCAAATCTCCTACTGGGACGAGACTTAAACTGTTCTCGCAAAAATATTGATAAAATAGGTGGAAAAGATGTACGCAGTAGGAAAAACGCCATTCAAAGCATGGTCAAAATGTGCAATAATTTAAACCTTGTCGACATTTGGAGACTCCAACATCCAAACGACGCACGATTTACTTGGCAGAACAGCTCGGGAAAGATAAGATGTAGGTGAGATTATTGGCTTATTTCGAAGCACATAATTCCTCGCACTAGTAAAACAGATGTGAAGTCTTATTATGATTCGAATAAAAATAAACAACCAAAAATCGTCTGGTCCAGGGTTTTGGAAATTTAATAACTCCCTCCTTGATAACGAAGTAAAATGCTTGTTCTTCAAACCCCAAACGTAGAAATGAAACTAGTTAAACAAAATCTCCCGGTTAAGACTATCTATAAATTACCCTTCAAGGTCACAATGGAAAATAAACTTAGATGTTTTCAATATAAGGTACATAACATTCTACCCACTAACAACAAACTTTACAAAA